TCATTTTAAAAATATTCCCTATATGAAAAAAAAAGTAATATATGTTATCCAGAAAAACTTGCCATCTTGCAGGTCAACCTACATGACACATAATGTATTGACAACTACACACAACATAATGACAACACATTCATCCACTATTGAAAAGATGCGGTGCTATTTCATAATAGAGCTTTTTCAACAAAACAAGCTTGCATCATATGCTTAGAAATAATATATAAAATGTCCCCCTATGTGAAAAAAATAACATAATACATGTTTTCCAGTAGTGTTTGCATTCTTACAAGTCAGCCTGCACAATACAGTGTATCGACAACTATCCATGGCATATTGACAACACAAGAATACACTATTGACAATATATAGAGTTATTTGTACAAGATATTTTTTAATGTATCAATGTTGAATCAAATTATTCCATACCCATTAGCTATGAAAATTGAATGATCGCATGTATACCCAAAAAGTATTATCCTACCCTTAAACGATAATGAAATCATTAATGCACAAGAAATCATTTAGCCACTCAACAATCACTATATCGTTTTCTATTGATGAAATCCTGCAGTCGCAGATGAAGCACTCCCACCTCACTTAAATGAAGACAAGGGCGGTAATTATGGCTATGAGGAAGTGAAAATTACCTTACCATGATCAACAATCGTGAATATGCAGCAATCTTCAGTATCGCTGATCATGAGTTTTGTGAGATATGCGTTTAAGCAAAATTTCCTTTTTAACGATAAAGGGCAAATCAGTAATTTTATTTTTAGACTTATTTATCCTTAAGTTTCTAGAGATCTGGCAGCTATTTGATGAATTCATGGGACCTTAAAGTGATTTTCCCAAAATATATACCCCTTTATTTAAAAATGTAAGGCATTTTTAACTAAATCTTACCCGTAATAAAGTAGTTATTTGTTTTTAAACTAACATTATATTTTATATTTATCCCTATTTAATAGGGTGTCTCACCATAAAATAAATATAAAGCGACATATTAAATATGAATACTTTTAAAAAAAATAAAAGCAATAATTATATCGTGAAAAATTAAAAATATCTTATATTTTTAAATATTTAAGTTTTTCAAAAATGACTCACACTTTTAAATGGAGTAAGTGTGTGTGTGTGTACTATAATAGACTCATGTGATACTATATATTTTAGCTCAAGACTTTTCTTTTGTGAGCACATGCACAAAAACTAAATTTTTTCAACAGTAGAAATTGATCCAAGATCTTGAAAAAAGCAGATAGCGGCGGCTTAACTCAGAACGCGATTTTTATCCCCTTAATCGTTTATTCCATTTTCAGCCATTTGGGTAATTTCATTTTAAAAATCGATTTCAAACACAAAAATCGATTTTGAAGCCTAACCAAACAGGCACTATAGGTTAGGCTAAGGTGAGATGAAGTTTCATTCAGCAAACTAACATTCTCTGCGTACGGTTCGTTTAGGAAACTGAGATGGAAAAATACCCAAACATCAATTGGGGCATATCTGCATTTTGTAAAAGGACTTTCAAAGTGTCAAACTTGCTAACCAAACACCTCTAATTCCATGTGCAGCAGTGGTGTATTGGAAATGATAAGATAAGAAAGTGGTATTTGCTCAAAGTAAATTTAATTTTTGTTGATGTCACTGCTCTTTGATCAAGTCAAACTCATCTCTACAGTAAATTAAATTTTAAGAAAGGATAGGTTAGATAAATTAAATCTGTAAAATCTCATTCTTTTGCAACTTCAAAAGTAGAGAATTATTGATGAAACTTTCCCGTTAATCTATCTGCGTTTTAGGTTAATGTTTTCTCATAATAAAAAGACAAGGGAACAGACTCCTTCAGATTCAGAATCAAGCATATCGGTAACATTTATTATACCTACACTCATCAAACTCGCCTGCAAATGCATGAGCAACGCAGTATTAGAGTCACTATGGTTTCTTTAACTTGCATTGGGAGGATTCTTCTACGAAGCCTTTTACTTCCTTTCACTTTTGCATGGAGGAGTTCAGGCGTTTGCTTCCCCATTTAAGAGCAAAATTTCCAAAAAATCTTTAGAAGCCTTTGGTGATCCATAACTTACGGCATGAAGCTACTTTAAAGTGATGCCGATAGTTGGACACTCCACTTCTGAGTTCCTTGATGTTTCGGAGTTCGGACGATGAAGGAGGAGACCTTGTTTTCCCTTCTAGCATGCAGAACGGTGTAGCTCCTCCTACTGTCGCATACAATCAAGAATCTAGCCCTGTTTTGGGTCTGCCTATCACTTTCATTATTGGTTCCAAATTGGGTTTTGTCTGTGTTCTCAAGCAAAGCTTTTGTGGTCTCAAGTGAAATGTCCTGATTAGTGATGACGCTGTTGGTCAAGGTTTTCGTGGGGTTTTAGCCAAAAAATCTTGTTCACTGGTATGATTACATTATGGACCTCTTAAGTTTGCATACATTCACTTAGAGGTCCATAATATAGTGCTGCATATGATGTTCCTGTTTTTTAGTGTTCTCTTTGTCTTAGTTATCATTTTAGGCTGAAGTTTCACAAACTTCCTGATGCTATCCTCTTTCAACCTTTGCTTCAGCTGAAGCAGTGGTCTTCAAAATCCTACGGGAGAGTATATGGTGCCTCATACTTCTTTTGGAGAAGGTATTGTTGCATTTTTCAACTTGTTGCGCTGTCGTCTTCCTTAATCATGCTAGTCTTCATGCTGGTTTCAATATTTCACCTTACGAGTTGCTACCAGATGCTGCTGCAACTTTGTGGACCGAATAACTTTGAATTCTCGATGTTTCAGCTTTGGTTGTTTAAGTTTGTCATGTTTCTGGTTGGTTTTTGTGTAAGGTCCAATGTATAATGGGCCACTTTATGGTTGTCGTTGCTTGCTGTTTGCATTCAGTGTTGTTTGCCAGTGTATTGGCCCAAGAATATTGCAATTGTCTTCTCTTTGGGCTTTGGTTGTAATCTTTTTATTCTCATATAAGTTGCTTTTTTTAAAAAAAAAATACAAGATTATGGAAAACCCGTGCAGGAGACTAGTGTCTTGTCATATCTAGAGTCATGAAGCTATTATAGTCGGGGGGTGGGTTGTCAAAGATACAAATATTAAAATTATAATAATATATTTTATAGGCTAGAAGATCAGCTCATTTGTTGGCTTCCGTATAGACATGGTCAAAAATGACCACCTAATTTCTCATTATGAGATCCTTAATATTTTGATAATCAAAAAAAGAGGGTGATTATTATAGTAGATATTATTGATAAGTGATAAAGCCTTCAAGGAATCTGAGTAGACGTTAATTTTAGATAGATTCTCATTCCAACAAAGGTTGAGGCCTTCTAGAATTTTTAAGAGTTTAGCTTCTCTATTGGGATAGCACCTAAGGTTTTTGAAAAACTTCTTAATCCAATTTCTTTTGTCATATCTAATAATGCCCCCACAAGTAGTAGCACCATTAGTATTGACAAAGACATTGACCCTAAGTCTAACCCAACTGGGTTTAGGAAGGCTTCATTCAACTTTAAGTCTATCGCCTTATTTGTTCAAATGGTTCATCTTGGATTGAGACATAAGATCGTTGATTATTTGTTCAAATGTAAGTTGCTTTTACTTTACAAAAGAAAAGGTATATAAGCAACGTCAGTCTGAGTTTAATAAGAAATGAAAATGATTTGAAGATTATCTATTTGGGTGTTGAGATGCTATGTCCCGATAAGTAACGGAATCAATGGAAAGTTTTCCCTTATATCATTTTCATATGAAAGTTCTTCTCACCTTCCAGGAAACGCTTAGCGGCCTTATATTATAAAATACTAACTAAACAGAGATTCGTTGTCGGTGAGCTTTGAAATATCTCAACCAGGTGTAGAAAAATCTTCATCCAATCCCTACTTCATATATTAATCATCCAAAGAAACTATGGGATGATGGGAATGACAAGAAAAATAAAGGAAGGAAAAACAAGCTAAAAGCCTTAAAGCTCCATCACCATCAACAAGAAATCACACCACATAATCAAAGTAGTTCATGCCACGTACCATTTCTGGCTTAAGCTGCAACTGGTCAGTTCCTATTGTGGAACAAGCATCAGCCCCCAATCTCCTTGTGTCGCAGACATGTGTGCGATGCAGAATGCGGTTATGACTCAAATTTGTAGGCATTGTGCCTTTTTGAAGGAATAGAAATAAGCAAGTTGCAATATTTGACTCAAATAGTGTTTGGATGTGTTAAAAAATTTGAAGAAATTGAAATAAACAAGATTTCTTTTTACCACAATTGAAATAAACAAGTTGCACGAAACCAAATAAAAATTTGAAAAAATAAAAACAAATTGCACCAAACCCAAAAGAATGTTTATAACTTATGAAAAGTATGGTCCTTTGTATATATTTTGCAAATTACATTAACATTAATGTTGACATTGAAAATAAATTATACATTCACTCGCCCAAATATTTTCATAGTATTGTATTAGAAAAATTTATGTGAGACATGTTGAGTTTTACCTTAACTTTTGATAGTTTAATACAGTTTTTATTTTTACCTCACCTAATGAGATAAGAAAAACAGGTCTAATATAATAATATCTTGAAATTCAGTATACCACACCCCCATCACTGAAGCAGCTGGTAGGCTGCAGATTGCTTGGGTCAAAGCGGTGGAACTTATTATACAAAATTGGAGCATGGAATTACAAGATTGCCATAAAATATTATCAAAGAAGCTGATAAATTTCAAAAACGTCATCGCATGATATCATAATATATTTTGAAATTAAATCGTAGAAAAACCGAGAGTTAAGGAGACAGGAAGACTTGATGCCAGCAAGTTCGGGAAAGCCCAACTGGGATTGAGCTGGGAGAGTTATGCTTAGTATGAATGGTTGACCAGCATTGACCAGCTGGCTGGTTTGCCTTTGATCCACTCCATGTATTGAGATAAAAGCATGTAGTTTCAATCCTTAGTTGCCAAATCCATAGTTTCAAAACATAAACTGAACCATGAAAACTTCCTCTAGTTCCCCTTACATCGTTCTATTTCTGCATCTTTTACTCTTGCATCTCCAGATTGCTTTTGCTTATAATATCAGTTATTCTCCCTTGGAAAACATTGCCCTCAACTGTGGCACTAGCTCACCAGAACCTGTGTTATACGATGGAAGGAGCTGGACTGGAGATGCAGATTCACAGTATGAATCTTCTGATGTGGAAGCCAAGTCCCTGGTAGCCAAAGCCTCAATGATTAATGCATCTGTTCCTGAAGTTCCATACATGAGTGCTCGAGTGTTTCACTCTCAATTTACCTATAGATTCAATGTGACTCCTGGTCCGAAATTCATCCGCCTTCACTTCTACCCTACTTCTTACTTGGGTCTTGATGTCTCCAAAGCTTTTGTATCAGTCACTGCAGGTAATTTCACTCTTCTGCATAACCTGAGCGTTTCGCTCACTACTGATTACATGAACAAAGCATATCTGATGAAAGAGTTTATCATCCATGTGAGCGGAAGGACCTTGGAGCTGACCTTCACTCCATCATCCAATGCTTCGGATGTCTATGCATTCGTCAATGGAATCGAAGTTGTTTCCATGCCTTCCAATCTCTATATTCAGGGTGATAATGCCCACATTCCTTTAGTTGGTCATGATCCTGTGCTATATTACATTTATAATGATTCTGCCATGGAAACCATGCATAGAATCAATGCAGGAGGGGATGCAATTCCAGCCAAATATGATTCGGGACTGTTTCGTACTTGGCTTGGAGATGATGAACCTGTATATTTTCCTTCCGAAGGAGTTGAACCTGGTAATATGACCATGCCAATTATGTATCGGGAAACTGTTCCACCATATCTTGCACCAGAACTTGTCTACCGTACTGCCCTGGCAATGAATCCCTTTTTAGATGGCAGACTCAATCTAAACTATAATCTATCATGGTTCTTTTCAGTTGATTCTGGTTTCAATTATCTTGTTAGGCTACACTTCTGTGATGTCATCCAAGAGGTGACTTCGGTGAATCAGGTAGCCTTTACTATATACTTAAATAATCAAACAGCTATGGATGACTTTGATGTAATTGCTGTGACTGGTGGTCCTGGAGTTCCTGTGTACCTAGACTTTGTAGTGGTGGTTCCTGAAACAACCGAAGGAAAGAAGGATCTTTGGCTAGATCTTTATCCATCCGTGAGGAGTAAACCTCAGTATTACACTGCTTTCTTGAATGGTGCGGAGGTCTTTAAACTGAGCAAGTGGGATGGAAATCTTGCAGGGGTTAACCCTGTCAACAAGAAGTCTGAGTCATTTGCGCCGGTGCCCCATGCTGCAGCATCTGCAAAGACAAAGAAAATCACATTCATCATCATTGGATGTGGACTGAGTCCTGTGGCGTTAGGGGTATTAATTCTCTTTTTCCTGATTGTTTATAGGTTAAAACTAGTGAAGACAAGGAAGATCTCATGGCATGATCGCTTGATACTTATTCCTAATCAAGTGAAAAAAGCTCACAAAACATCTCGCCATCATTTTTCTCTGGATGAGATCAGAGTTGCAACAAATAACTTTGATGAGGCTCTGGTCGTCGGTATTGGTGGTTTTGGCAAAGTGTACAAGGCTAGTTTTGATCATGGCTCTACCTTTGTAGCCATAAAGGGGAGCAATCCAAGGTCAGAACAAGGTGCTTTAGAGTTTGAGACAGAGATCCATGTGCTCTCCCAGCTGCGCCACCACAACCTTGTTTCTCTTTTGGGTCATTGCAAAGAAGATGGGGAGATGATACTGGCTTATGAATACATGTCCAATGGTACTCTGTTTGACCATCTTCATTTGAGATCGAGGGAAGAACTTCCTTTGTCATGGATTCAACGTCTTGAGATATGTATCGGAGTGGCAAGGGGTTTGCACTACCTCCACACTGGCACAGAGCACAAGATCATCCACCGAGACATCAAGACAAGCAATATACTCCTGGACCATAACTGGGTGGCCAAAATTTCAGACTTCGGCTTGTCAAAGGTAGGCAACCCAACTTTAGTCAGCACCAACGTCAAGGGCAGTGCTGGATACTTAGATCCAGAGTACTTTCGGCATCACAAGCTGACTGAGAAATCTGATGTGTACTCATTTGGGGTGGTGTTATTGGAGGTGATAAGTGCAAGGCCTGCTGTGAATCCAGTTGAAGATGATGATGAACATGGTAACTTGGCAGACTGGGCTCTGTACTGCTGTGAGAATGGCATTACAACTCAGCTAGTGGAGCCCCACCTTGAAGGAAATATAGAAGCAGAATCTTTTGAGACATATATCGGGGTGGTCAAGAAATGCTTGGCTGAGAAAGGGGTAGAGCGCCCCACCATGAGTGAAGTGTTGCAGAGCCTTCTCCTCGCATTGCAGCTTCAGAGAAATGCTAATATAGCACCAACCAGTGGTGGCAATAGAACAGAAAATAGCGATTCAGGAAGCAACTCAGATTTGACACCGGGGATTGAGTTCTCTGAGATCATGATACCCATTGGACGTTGAAATTATTTTCTGACAAAAGTTTCACCCACACTGTACAAGAATCAGAGTTGCGAAGTTGTGATTAGGACACAAGAAGATGTATTATTATTTTTGTAGGAGGGAAACGTGATTACTGATTGCTGTATTCTTTATATATTTTAAAATGACAAGGATTGGTGAGAATTAGTGAAGGATTTCTACCATGTTGAACTGTAAAATTGATTTCAAGTTTGAGCTCGGGGCAAACAATAATACTACTGATTAAGTTTTTGGTAGGAGACATACCTCCCAAATACATGCTTGCAAGTTACCAATCCAACAAATCTTGGTTAAAAATCTTGGATACTAGAGCTCAAGCAGGGGGGAATATTTATACTATATATATTTTTTAAAAAAAAACATGTATTAACTTTTAACCATGTGATAAGAAATTAAAATGTCCTTGAAAAAGAATATGGTGGTTTTGAACTAATAATTTTATTTTAATATTATTTCTTTTGTAGTAAAATATATAAAGTTGATTTAAAAAATTGACTGTTTTATATTGAACAATTACAATATATATATAGTACTTTTTATAATATAATCATCGTCATCAATATAAAATAAAATTTTTTTAACAAACTGCATCGTTATATTTGCATTTTTCGTCATGTGCCAAATTTTCATATTATACCTTACAACAGAAGTTATGTCGGTAATAGCACTCGAGTTTAATAAAAAATATGGATAATGAATCCTTTGTTGCTTTAAATTTACATCGGTTATTGATTTATTCATTGAAGTCTAATTTTTATCAATCAAATTTCTAAAGTTTTATAATCATGCATAATTAATCTTTATGATATTGTTTTCCCTTCAAAGCAAGAGGACTGTGCATGGTGTTGATTCCTTATGAGATTGATTGATAAATATTAAATTCTAGGAAATAAATCAATAACTGAATCTAATTTGATATACCAAAACTTTTATTATCCATAAAAAATATAAAAATTAATTTGAAAACTATATAATTATTTATTAATATATTCTCTTAATCTCATTTTACTCTCTCTATTTAAAAATGTAAGGTATTTTTAATTTTTTAAAATATAATTATTATTTTTTTAAAAAAATACCTCTATTGATAATAATTTTATATTTATTATAGAATATTTAATAAAAAATATGAAAAAATAGAATTAATTAAAAAATATATAATTAATTTATTAAAAGATAAAATTTAATTAAAAATATTTTATATTTTTAAAGAGAGAAAGTATAAAGTATTGTTTGTTTTCTCATGCAAGTTCATTTCTGCATGGCGCCGTTTGACTGAATCAAGTTTAGGATATGGAAGCCAGTCATCCAAAGATTCGTTGTAGGTGAGCTGTGCAATTTTTGAACCGAGTGCGTAGGTCCCAAGTCCCAACATATTATTCAGACTTTGTCCTATAGCAATATGCCTTCCAGCTTAGGTTTTGTTAATCTTACTTCCGACATAGACTAGTCTTTTGTGTATTTTATTATTATTCTTTTTATAAATAACCGCCCTTTACTACGAAAGGTCCTAATATATTAAATAAAATAATTTATGAAAGTTTGAAATTCATTGCATCCATTCAAATGTTAGAAACTTCATGCGCAACAGTTGGGGGAAAGAAATAAAGGAAACGAGCTAAAAAGGAAAAGCCCAAAAGCCCAGGTGTAAATGTAATGTGGGGACCTCAAGATCCAAAACATTATATCATTTTAAAATTCATATAGAAATAAAACAAATATTTTATATGATTAAAACAATCAACAGTTGGAAGTTAAGAAGCACAGCAAGAAAAGAAGAAACCCGAGCAAAACTAGCTGCTTAGCGAGGAATTAGTCGATGTGTAAGTGCTCTCCGTGTGGACCAAACAAAGCTGGAGAACTGCAGACTTGGAGATTGACTTTGCCAGGAGCTAGGAAGAGTCCTTCAAGTCACATCAACTCTCAACAATCAGTAAGGCCAATCAGATTCATAGCCTGCGATCTAAAGATACTATTCCTGACTTTTGTAACAACATGAACAAGGCAATCCCTCCGCTCACCTCTGTTTCTCAAATATTTCTGTAAATCAGCCTCTTCATGGAGAAAAACCATACACTTGAGCTATGCAAGTATGTTCTGAGCTCTGTGATGCATCTCTCCTTCCTTTTAACTACTTTCAAAACCTGTTCTTCAACTGACGTCCCTTCAGATAGAATCCTCCTCGACTGTGGTTCTTTGGGAGCATCAAAATTCAATGGAGCAAAATGGATAGGAGACACTCGCACCCATTTTTTGCCTCAAGCATATGACGAAACATCTTCAGCACGCTTCATCTCAAACCTGAGCTCTGGAGTACCAGAGGTCCCATACTCAACCGCACGCGTGATTCATTCTCCATTCACATACTCTTTCCCCTTCTCCCATGGCCTTGTCTTCATCCGTTTTTACTTTCTTTCGACTTCGTACCTGGGTCTAAGCCCCTCCAAGGCTTACTTTTCTGTTAAAACTGGTCCTTATACTCTGTTAAGTAATTTCAGCCCATCTGTTGCCGCTAGAGAGCTCAAATTAGTCTTCTTCACTAAGGATTTCTTGGTCAACGTCAAGGAAAAGAGACTTGACATAACTTTCATCCCGTATTCTCTGGTTTCCAATGCATTTGCCTTTATAAATGGCATTGAGATTTTCGCAGTGCCTCTCAGTATTTACTTTCCGGGTCCTAACTCTCCCCTTCCTTTACTTGGGCATCAGGTACCCTTCTTTATTAATGATGACTATGCTCTTGAAATGCTTTACCGGATTAATGTCGGAGTTGATGAGCATACTGATGATGCTGTAAATGTGTTTGGAACATATGACGATGATCTGAGCTACATAGCTAGCTATAGACAAGGAAGTGTCCTTAATATTAAGTTTCGTCCTACTAGGGTGACTTACAACTCTTCCAAATCCAATGATTATCATTATGCAGCACCAGAAGAACTTTATTGGACCGCCAGGACGATGGGTATCGACGAAGACACTAACACGAGGTACAACTTAACATGGTCCTTCCCGGTTGATTCCGGTTTCAAATACCTTATTAGGCTTCATTTCTGTGAGATATCCATGGAGATAGCCCAGGTCAACCAAAGGGTGTTCAAGGTATATATCAACAACCAAACAGCAGAGGAGAGCATGGACTTGGTTGCTCTTACTGGTGCACCATCTGTCACTTTATACAGAGACTACGTGGTCATGATTCCTGCAGGAAATGGGAGGAAGCAAGATATGTGGATTGCCCTTCACCCAAACATGGAGTCAAAGCCCAGGTATGCTGATGCTATACTGAATGGCATTGAGATCCTTAAGTTAAGCGACAGCAGCCACAATCTTGCGGCTAGTATCCAACTGGATATGGAACAAAAGGAGAAGAAAACTCGTTACAGCATTATTGTTGGAAGTACGGTAGGTGTCATTTTGGGATTGCTCATTACATTTTTCATTGTTATTCACAAAAAGGGGAAGAGAGTTAAGTGGGGACCTTTTCGGGTGGTCCCGTCAAACTCAGCAGGCAAAAGTCCCAAAAATTTTCATTCAACAGTCAGCTCAAGTCAATGCTACCAATTCACATTATCAGAGATCAGATCAGCAACGAACAACTTCAGCCAGGCTCTTGCCATTGGGGAGGGAGGCTTTGGTAAAGTTTACAGGGGGTTCATCCATGATGGAGTCACCACCGTGGCAATAAAGCGCTGTAATCCTACTTCCCACCAAGGATACAGAGAGTTTCAAAATGAAATCAATTTGTTATCCTCATTTTGTCACAAGAATTTAGTATCGCTTCTGGGCTACTGCCAAGAGGACAATGAGCTGATACTTGTCTATGAATACATGGCTGAAGGCACTCTTCGCGATCACTTATACAAAACACAGAAACAGCCACTACCTTGGAATCAAAGAATACATATTTGCATTGGTGCGGCTCGAGGATTACACTACCTCCATACAGGCACAAAGCATCCAGTTATTCACAGAGATGTCAAATCAGCCAACATTTTGTTGGATCACAACCTCGTGGCTAAAATTGCAGATTTTGGGTTATCTAGAATTGGCCCCACTTCCGCATCACGAAACCATGTTAGCACTAATGTTAAGGGTACTTTTGGCTATTTAGACCCAGAATACTACAGGAGAAGAAAGCTAACTGAAAAATCTGATGTTTATTCGTTTGGGGTGGTGCTGTTTGAAGTGTTTTGCGGAAGGCCGGCAGTGAATCCTATGGCGGCGGAAGAGGATGGTGAGGAGATTGGCTTGGTTCAGTGGGCTTGGCAGTGTCATCTCTCTGGGGAATTTCATCGAATGGTGGATCCGCATTTAAAAGGAAGAGTTCCATCAGATTGCCTCAAGGCATTCGTAGATATTGGCATCAAGTGCTTGGCAGAAAAGAGCACAGATAGGCCAACTATGGGGGAAGTGCTTAGTAATTTGGAGAAGCTTTTGTTGTTGCAGGAGAGTCCAGATGAAGAAGAAACAAATGGAGATCCACATCCCCTTGTCGGGATAAATGAGAAGGCCAACAAGCAATAGGTTGATGGATCAACAATAACTGCACAATGAAATTGTGCCAGAGGATAGAGAATGAAGATTAATACATGATAGAAACTGAATTGTAGCAACTCGATGTATGAAATGGGAAGTGTAGGAATTTTAACCACCACTGTTTGATTCAAAGTTCATCGCGTCTTTCGTTACTTTTAAGAGCTTATGGGCCGATTTCGACAGTATACCCATTTATTTCCCTTGTATTAAAGATAAACACTTGATGCCAAATTGGTTTTGCATGATCAGCTAATTATTCAGAATATTCAACATTCACTGAAGGGTTCAAAAAGATTACCCCTTAGGATCTTCAACATTACCGATTTGCCTCTTCCCTGCTTTTCCTGCCCCTTCTCGCCGTCTTCCTCTCCGACCTCTCTATCTATCAATGGATGTTTTATCTCTCTACTGGTTCTTTCTCTTTCTTGGTTTTTACCGATCCGGCTCCCTCCTCCGCTCTCCTTCTCACCGAAGCTGTCCCTGTCAATCTCTCCGTCCCGCTCTCTGTTTCGGCTTATTCCCACTCACCGAACTGTAAAAGCATTATTCTGCATTCAACCGCTCCTGTTTCTCTCTATCTTCCAGGGAGATGACGCACGGCGGGATGGTTTGCTAAGAGGAGGGAAATTTGCAAGTAAATCAAGTCATGGAGCTGAACCTGAAATGTTTCAAGGGTATTTTGGTACTTTTATCTTTGTTCCTCCCCTCCTTTTTGGGTTTTAACCAGAGAAAATTACTCCAGAGTCTTTTATAGGAATTCTAACTACAATAAAATTCGATGAAATAGATAACCAAACACAAAGTCTGAAATCTTTTATTTTAATTATATTTTTATGTTTAAAAAAAACCATCAATCATTAGTCACGGAAGCTCCGACCAACAACCAGTGATTGAAGGCCACTGTCAGCGAGCAAATTATTAGTCATAAGAGAATTTAAGGATGCACCTTCTTGAATTCCAAAATATTTTGTCCCCACGACACCACGGAAGCCATTTGATAAACATATGCAAAATATTACATGTACACACACATACACGTAAAGAACTTATTGTCAATTGCAAAACATTAGTATTCAATGCCCTTTGTTAAATTATTATTTTTCCTTGCCTTATTGTCATTTCTTTAATTGATGTGGTATAATTTATGCATTTTATCATGAACTTATTTCATTTCAAATTATCTCAATTGTTAATGTCATTTTCCTCTACCTCAAATGTTTGGTGTGGTCGGTATTACTTGTGTATTTTGTTGTGAACCTATTACATTTCAAATTATTTTACTTGTCAACGTTCTTTGTCTTATTATCATTTTCCCTTATCTTATTGTCATTATCATCTCTCCCATTGCAAGTAATTGGTATAATATAACTTATCCATTTTATCATAAACTTATTTCACTTTAAATTATTTTAGTTGTCAATACCTTTTTCCATGTTGTCATTTTCCCTTACTCTATTGTCATTGTCTTTTGTTTCGTTGTAAATATTTGGTGTAATATAACTTATAAATTTTATCATGAGCTTATTACATTTTAAATATTTTCAATTGTCAATGCTTTTTACTCTATTGTCATGTTTCCTTGCCCCAGTTGTCATTACCCTCCACCTCGGTGTAAATAATTGGTATAGGAGAAATGACAACAAGGCAAAAGACATCAACAATTGAAATAATTTGAATTAAAATAATTTAATGATAAAATGCACAAGTTGTACTACACTAGTTAATTACAATGAGGCAAAGGACAATAATAACAAAACAAGGGAAAATGACAACACAATAAAGGATATTGACAACTAAAATAATTTGAAGTGAAATGAGTTCATGATAAAATGCACAAGTTATACCACAACAATTATTTACAACAAGACAAAGGGTAATGACAATAGAGTAAGAGAATATGATAATTGAGCAAAGGGCATTGACTACTAATGTTTTGTACTCTTTTCGTTTAAAAATGTAAGGCATTTTTAATCGAATCTCACCTTCTAATAAAATAATTACTTGTCTTCAAATTAAGCCTATTTTTTATATTTACTTTTATTTAATAGGGTATTTAATTCTAAAATAAATATAAAATGATTTATTCAATAAAGATACTTTTTAAAAAAAGGTAATTATTGCACTTTAAAAAATTTAAAATGCCTTATATTTTTTAACATTCAATCTCTTAAAAAATATCTTACATTTTTTAATAAATGAAGTAATTAACATTAAATTCTTTATATGTGTGTGTGTGTAAAATATTTTGCATATATTTATTAAATTGTGTTCAATGGCCTAATGGTGTTATACCTTCTCGTAACCAAGGGGTTGTATCTTCAAATCTTACCAACTTATGACCAATAATAATAATAATAATAATTCGCTCGCTCTAGTAGCACCAGCAACTAGCAACGTGCTCCGATTGCCGGCATCCAGCCGGAGCTCCAATGACGAGCAGTGGATAGTTTTTGTTTAAAAAAAATAAAGTAAGGGTACTTTAGCAAGTCAACATAAAATATATTTAATATAAAAGATTTGGGATTTTGGGGTAGTTTGTCCATTTCATGGGATCTTATAATACTTGGAATCCCATGAGGAATTTTGGAGTGATTTTCCCTTTTAATTAAGCATCGTTGCTGACTCGTAACTCGTAAGAAACTCAAACGTGTTGGAGGTAAGAAGAAGAAACTTCAGAAAAATGGAATCACCTGTTGCTTCTAAAAACTGAGCTGGCTTAAATGCTTGAATCTGGACCAATGCCTACTATGCATCTAAAGCTCTCATAGATACAACTTAACGAGAGGGCTGAAGAAGAATTCATTGTTCCGTGTTTACCTGATGGTAGTGGTTGTTTTTGGATTAGAGGATGCTTCATGACAATTCAAGCAACAAGGTCTGATTCTCTTCTGCCTTCACATGTTTCATGTATCAACATGTTGACACTAATCATTACATTTTGAGCTAAATGTCCCCCCCCCCAAAAAAAAAAAAACTCCCCAAAAAAGCAAAAAGAAAAAGAAAAAAGAAAGGGGCCTTTTCTTCTTTCCCCATTTCTAGGCATTGATGATTGTCCTTGACCATTCACTAGTTTCATTAAACAAGTAAAATAGGCAAAGAAAACTAAAATTTAATTTCACTAAGCACTACAAACACAAGTTTGATATAACAGAAAGGCCTGGTTTCTTATAACGTGGTGAAGTAAGATTTGAACCTCCACTAAAAGAGATATTCACATTTAGTATTCAATCGTACTTCAAATAAGATTGCCTTCAATAAAAAAATACATGTGCGCAGTTAAAAAAACTTCACCAAACACCATTACATCCTTTAATAACCCCATATATCAACCTCAACCTAAACTGGCCTTTTAGCCATGATTCCCCTAATTAGCCTTAACTATTCCTAATTCCCATCTATCATGTTGACATCTGCCAGATATAATTGATAAAAATTGATGTTGTACAATTGAAGCTTACAATGTTTTTTTACATGTGAACTCTGGAGACTGTTATATGATTTTTCATTGTCTTGTTAAGTAAAGAAAATTCTCAATGAAAATCAGATTCATTGCTACTCCTCCTAGATGCTTAGGTATGTCAAGTATTATCCATCAGACTCAGTACAATTTGAATGGTTGATATGTATAACACACAATGCTCCATTAGTAAGCAATCCTTTACATTTCATTGTAGGCCAGCTATTGGATTTTGTGGTGTAGATTTTTGCAGGGAATCTTTGCATGGCACTGAAAAATTTCAGCTTAGCAAGCAGACAATTTTTTGAAACTAAATTTTGATAGCATAACTACGATTTAGCTTTTTCTTTCATTAAAACTAAGGCCTAATTACCTAAAACATGCCTTCATCCTGAGTATATGTTCCGAATACTACATGAATGCTAAGTTACATGATATCTTCCTCACAGGTTTCTTGATCACTGATCTTTGAAGATGACAAAATACTCGATGAGAAGATGAGCAGGAAGTAAGCCACCAAAGTTTTCAGAAGTATCAAACTACTCTTTCTGGTGGTTTGTAAGATTTTCTGGACAGTAAACACTACGCTACATTTGCACGATATTTAGTAAATAGAAAAGTGTTTTCTAAAAAAGAAATGGTAAATGTATCTATCCCATCTTCTTTCTAGGTAAATTCTCTAATTCCTTTCTGGAAAACACTTTTTTATATGCCAAACATGCACTCGATGTTATGAACTTGTGTGTAGAGCAAGGTCAATAATTTAACTTAACGAAGAAACTAAACGGCTGTCCTAATGGTTCTAGAAAGATCTTGGCCTATCTCATACATAGTAGAATCTTGAACTTCTAGAATACACAATGCAATATGCAAAAAAATTAAAAGGAGAGTATGCATTATAGCAGTCGTTGGCATTACTAATTTCTTGACACATTATCACACGACAGTGTCAATCCACTTTCACTTTATTCCTAAACTTGAGGAATATAAGAATGATTTAAAACTTAATAATTACTCACTTGATAAGAACCTACCCCTGGCTACCACCAGAACACATAGAAAGGGACATAGGGATTATGTATTCTACTACCCTGTTGAATTTGTAGTGTGTGTGTGGTTTGTATCTTTTGCTCACTGTTATCAACCGTGTTAGTAATCTGAAACTATAACCATTATCCTTCCTTTATAGTGTCATTTGTATCCGCAACAAGAATATCTAAGTGGGTTTTGTGGAATGTTTGTATCCATGAGTGCATTGTATCTGGGAGTAATGTATTAGAGCCTTTATTCTTATCTTCTTGTGCAAATATGTACTTTATCTAGCAGAGGTGATCTGTTTGGAAGAAGCATTTGTTGAGGGTCATAACAAACTTTCATATTCAGAATTAAGCATACATGCAATAAATACTCTGAGGTGAAAAGGGCAGATACCTTCTGTGCTTTGACTCATTTGCAAACAGCCCTTTTATATTTTCGAAATTCAGATCATGTGTCTTTGCATTTTATTATTTTTAGCCTAGCTACTAGGTTCTCAACATGAGTTTGCATTTATATCTTGTATGTAACTGTGTGCGCAAAATTGAAAGTTCTCTTGCTGAAGTTTTGCAAAATTTTAGTCTTGAAGATGTTTGATCCTCAAAAACAGAAGCATTGAAGAA